GCGATTGGCACAGGACAGTGCGGAGTTTAGGGCTGCTGTACATAGGGTCGCTATGAGTCGCAAGCTACTCGACGGCACATAACAACAACAACTTCTCAGCTCTGGGTGGAGCCAATTTGACAAGCAGGAAGGGGTTATTACTGCCAACCCCCATGAGAATGTAGACTGTGGGCGCAGGGTAAGGCCTGCCTTATTTGTTGCGCTATCTCCAGCACCTAGCACAGGGCCTGCCACGAGCTGATGCTTAATCTGTATTTGTAGAATGAATGAAGGATGGACATTTCCTTTACTAGTCATACTTAAGCTCCTTTCCTAGGAATTGAGGCAGAGAAGCCCAAATCAAAACCAGTTCCTTTTCTGACTCCTAACAATCCTGTAAGACCAGAATGGTCACACAGGGTGTCCAAAGTCCAAGATCTCCACGGAAGCAGACTATCCATCTCTCTCCCAGGGTGGCTGGAGGGGACAAACTGATAACCTTTGTTTACAAACACCTTACTCACAGTGCCATCAGAGCTCCTAGAGAGAACCCAGCAGTCTCCAAACTGCCATGTGACATAGCTGGCACACATGAGATGCCCCTAAATGCAACTTTCTTTACTAAGAGTTCTCAATCCCCTAGAGGTGGTGAGCTCCCATGGAGGTCTTTGTTTGGGCAGGAGCACAATGAAATAATGAGAGGGGAGCCCTGAATCATCTCAGAAAGTTCCAAATGCTGGGAAGTTAACAGATAAAAGGAAGGTAAACCATAGGTTGGAATATTTTCATCACTCCTGGGACAATAGGATGGTGATCACATGTCTCACACGTACACGGGGCTTTGTAGTTAGCAAGGAGCTCCTCCTTATATCTCATCCTATGGGATAGTGCAAGGTAGGGCCATCAGACTCATTTTGCAGATGAGGAAATAAACAAATCAGTAATTTGCGTAGCTGAGACACTTTTCCAGCAACACCTGCTCTGCCTCCTTTACGTCTCCTTCATAATTGATCCTACACCTAGAAGTTTAGTTCACCTCTGTCCTTCACCCACCTGGTCCCAGGTGTCCAGAAGCATGACATCATCAGTGGCCAAGTCTTCCTGCATGAGCTCTCCAGGAACCTCTTCAATCTGGAGAAGAAGAAAAGGGGTTAAAGAAAGCAGCAGCGGGGCATCTTCCTGCCCACCCTCATCCTTCTCCATCCCCTCCCTCCCAGGGAGGAAGCTACAGAGCTAATTCTGGCCAGCAGGGACTCCTCCCTCCCTCCCTCCTTCCTCTGGTGTCACCTCCTTCGCTGCCCCTGACACTGACCGACCTTCATCACCAGCCCTGAAGGGAAGCAGATGTAGTGACCTTGGCAGGCCACCGCTTACCACAAAACGTCCAATCTTGTTGGAGCAGGCAAAGAGGCGAGGAGGGTGGGCGTCCATCTTCTTGTCCTTCAGCCTTGGAGATGTGCGGTAGGCAGATTTTCCACCCAGGGCCTCCCAGAAGCTGTCTGTGAGGGGAGGGCAAGGCAATTCCCAGCTGACACCAACACCTCCCCAGCACTTCTCATCAGACCCTGGGACGAACTCTGACTCTGCGTAGACCCAGCCAAATCCCTACCCTCCACCTGAAATTCCCAGGAGTCAGAGACAGAAGAGGCCTGGGAGGATTTGAAGGTGATGAAACAGTGGCCCAGAGAGGGCACACTTGGCAGTAGACACACAGCCATGACTACCTCCAGCTTGAGACTGACGACAGCATTGCAGGATGAGGATAATTATCCTCACTTGACAAATAAGGTGATGGGGCTCAGAGAGGTTAAACAACGTGCTAAAGATCACACAGCCAGAAGTAAAAGCAGGAGACAAATCTTGTCTTAGCCCAATCCCCACATTCTTTCCACTAGGCCTGCTCGGTCCAAGAAGATAGTTACTGGCTTTAAATTAAAATTCATTAGACTTGAAAATTTAGTTCCTCAGCCACCCAATTACATTAGCCACATTTCATTGAGTTGATTCTAACTCATGGTGACTGGATAGCACAGAGGATAATTGTCCCATAGGATCTCCAGGTCAGCCAGTCTTTACAGAAGCAGAACTTTCTGCCTTGATGCAACTAGTGGCTTCAAACCATATACCTTTTGGTTAGCAGCCAAGTGCTTAAGTGCTGCTCTACCAGAGCTCCTTCACATGTGGCTAGTGAGCTACAGTTAGTGGAAAACTGGACCAGGGAGATAGAAAACATATCCAGCCTCATAGAAGGTTCTATCTGACAAGATATATCTGGACCAAGTTTAAAAATAAAATTAAAAAACCAAAAACCAGTGCACCTGAGTCAGTTGTGACTTCTGACAACCCTACATACGCTGGTGCAGAACGTGCTCCATGGACGGACTTCTTGGAAGCAGGTGATTGTCAACCTTCCGGTTAGCATCAGAGCTTACTAACTGGGTGACTTCAGGTCTCCCAGTCCAAGCTACTCTTGCCCATTTCTCCTGAACATCAAGCTGGAGGGGATGCGCTCAAAACCAAAACAAAAAAGACCCAGAGACTGACGTAAGAAAGACAAGCTGGTGTCAGGTTCTGCAGACAGAACAAGCTTGCAGCATTTCTCAACACAGAGATTCCAAAGACTAGGAGAGCTGGCTATCCCTCTGAGGCTGTTCCCAAGCCCACAACGTCTCAAGGACTCTTACAACATCCTTCCCTGACTGTCTAGTCCACACCAACCTTTCCTTTCTCTCACTGACCATAATCCTCCATTGGGCAACAGGCACTGAGGAAGGACAAGACGTAGGGCTTTGCAGAGCAGAAGAAAGAGGGGGAAGCCCTAGAGCTGGAGTCCCCAGAGAGCAGCAGGCCTTCAGCTCTCACCTGGTTCACTGCCTTCTGTCACCTGCAAGGGCTGGGCCCCAAGCACCGTGAGCAGCTCCTGGGCCCCTGTCTTCTCAGCCTCACTGGCCCCTGTGCCCACCCAAAGGTAGGCAGCTGAGGGTGTTTTCAGGACAAAGGCATCATTGGAGTTCAGTGTACCAGCCTTAGGAAGCACCTGGGAGGGACGGCACTCAGTTAGTGAGGAATCAGATAGAAAACACTAAGCCCCTTCCACACAGCCAAGGAGACCCCTGCAATAGGTAGGACCTGGGAGAAACAAACCCCACCAGGGTAAAGAGCACAGACTTTGAACATTGAAGGCCTTGGCTGACTTCCATGAGTTGCTAAAGCACTGTGGCTAGTCAGGATTCTAGAATTCTGGGCTGCATTAACAGAAGCTGTGTGTCTACAACAAAAGAGGCTACTCAGACCATCCTGGAGAATTCTCTCCAGGTCTGCAGCTTCCACCATGAAAATGATGGTAGCAAACTGGAATGCTATCAGGAATGCCTCGATTGTGTAAACTGGACTATGCAGAAAGTAATGTGCTGTCCATCTGGAAAGTATGTAAGAGGCACTGGGCATCCCGATATAGAAGCAAGTCCAGGAATACAATTCTACTGACAGGGCAGGAAAACACCAAAAGCTACCTAACCCTTTCACCCAATCTCAGGTCTTATGACCAAAGTCCCTTCACTCAATCTCAGGGCTCTGTGCCCAAAACCTCTTCACTCAATCTCAGGGCCTTGTGCCCAGAGACTGATTGCTTCATTGCTCTCTTCCTGTGTCTCAGGCCCGGGCATTACCTCAACGGCACGCGTAGCTCCAGAGCTGCTGGCCCGGACCTGGAAGAGGCGGGTACTGGCAGGTGCAGTCTGCCCACCATCACGGGAAGTGCCACCCTTGTAGATGATCATGGGCTTCCCACCAAACAGGCTCATGAGATGTGCAGGCTCCTTGCCTTGGACAACACGGCTCTGCAAGGAGACAGGAGATCAAGTCAGGGAAAGAGGACAAGGCCTGAGTCCTTCAGTGAGGTCCGGAATCACCCTTCCCACATCCAGCCAGCATGGCTCAGGCCCAACTCATTCCCCCAACTGAGGTCAACACATTGTATCTCTGTGAGGCATGGAGCATAATGGGCCAGGACCCAGGCACTAGGCAGGAGCGCAGGAAGGCTGGAGACAGTGCTGTTGCCTGAGTTCCCTTGGGTACTGTCTGGGCCATTCTCCCCTTTCCACGGAGACCTGCCTTGCTGACCCTGAGTTTGGTCCAAGAACCAGGAGAGCCCATGTTTTCAAATATTCCCTTAAATGGAAGCACAGAGATAGTTCATAGACGTTCTCCTAGGATGGTGACATCAGCCCTCAGTATGAAAGCCAGTGGAGTGATGAGAATAGAGATTCCCAGATCTGGAGATCCTGCATGAACAGTGGCTGCAGTAAGGGACTAGGCAGTGGAAAAGAGGGGGCAAGGGGAACTCTACCAAAATCCCTTCATTCCTGCATCGCCCATCTAGTTTCAAATAAAATCTGCTGCCCTGCCTAATTAAATCTAGAATGTCATGTGTATGTGTGTGTGTTTTACTTATTGTGGTAGCCTCCTACCATGACCCACTACTGTCTGGTGAGAGTTCAAATCCCAGCTCTACTCTGATTGTGAGAATGGAGTCAGGATTTAGTCCAAGAATGCTACTCCCAAGGTCATTGCTGAGATACAATGAGAAAGAAATCAAGCACCTCACTTAGTGTCTGGCATCCAGAAGGGCACCACTGTCAAGAGACCCACCCGAATGCAACTCTGGAGCCATGCTTACTTCCGGGGTAGAGTGGAAAAGCAAAATTCTTGTCTACTTCTACCACATCTCCTCAACCTGACTCTGCTGCCTTCCAGGGCCCACGCTCTAGTCAGAGGACCGTTTAAACCCATAAGTCCCTTCTCAGATTTGCCATTCCGCAACCTCCAGGTGTGATCAGGTTCAAGGTTAACATCCTCGCCACAATCTTGGGATGTCCTGGCCCCTCTAGCACCTCTGTGGCCTTATATCATGGCACTTTCCTCCTCACGCTAACATCCCATACTCCTACCCCAGGGCCTTTGTATACTCTTCCCTCTGCTTGGAATATGCTTTCCTCTACTCTTTGCCTGACCACCATGTTTTTTAGGCCCTTAGCTGAAGATTCACTTTTCTCGGGGGGGTGTTCTCCAAAAAACAGCCCCATCTAAGATTTAGACCCTAGGATTTTTGTACTGTATTTCCAGGCTGCCTCTCCTGATTTCTCAGTGTTGACAGAGTACAACATCGTGTGACTACGCATTCATTTATGTGCACACTTGCTGAAGGACTGTCTCTTCTATACTACGAGCTCCGTGAGCCAGGGCAGTGTCTGTGAGTTGAATGCTAGTCAGCGTCTGCTACAGAGAAGCCCAGGTTGCATGATCAGATGGGTGGATGGGTAGATGGATGGAAACGGACTGGCTCACCTGGACAGGGGTACCTCCCAGCTCCTCATCCAGCTGAGCGGTCAGGATCGCAGATGCAGCAACTTCATCCTGGGTAGACTGGGCCCCCTGCCTGGAAGAGGAAGTGATACTCAGCATCTGCTTTTCCCTGGCCTTGAAAACCCCTCAAATCTCTACCATATGGGCAATGGAACTGAGAAGGAGAGAGAAAATTACTCTCTCAAGACGAACACCTGAGCCAGGAAGCAAGTCAACACTCCACACAGCTTCTTTTCTTCTTACACTGATGTGAACATAGACAATAGACTCCGTTATCCCAAACATCCCCTGCAGGGGACTGGATGGTTTGTCTCATCCTGGGGAGCCACAGAGTGCTCTGAGACTCACGTCCAAGATGAGGAACAATGGTCAGGATATGCCTCTGGGTAGAAGGCAGGTCAAGTAACAAATATGGCAGGTGCTCATTTGTGGAAAAGCTTTATGTAAAACATTGTAGAGAAGTCTGCAGGAATGTTCATGAAAAGGTCAGTAGTGATTGTTCTGAGAAATGAGATTTAGGGAGATACTGGCTATTTACTCCATATTTTCCTATGTTGTCTAAATTTCCCATAACCAACATGTTATCTGCATAAATTAACAATCTGAAAAATCAATGTGCCAATGTAATCAATGTACTAATGCAACACTCCACATAAGTTTCTTTTCTCCTTACATCGATCTGAATACATATTTTGCATCTTTCAAAATTTGACGGATACAAAGAGAGTTTTTATAAATGTGAATTATTGTAGGGAAGAGTATTAAATATTCCATGGACTGTCAAAAGAACAATCAAATCTGTGTCTGTCTTGGAGGAAATGCAACCAAGGTTCTCCTTAGAGGCTAGGATAGTGAAATGTCATCTCACATGTTTTGGGCATGTTGACAGTCCTTGGAGAAAAAGACATCATGCTGAGAATGATGGAGGGTCAGAGAAAGAAAGACTTTCAACAAGATGGACTGACACGGTGACTGTAACAATAAAAGTTTTGAACATATTAAAGACCATGAAGGTGCACGGTTTGAAACCACCAGATAGATGTTCCGCTGGAGAAGAAGGGGCAATCTCCTCCTGTACCAGTCGGATCTAATTCAACAGTACACACACACACACACACACACACACACACACACCATGAAAAGATGGTGCAGGATCTGTTGCTATGAATCATAGTTGATTAGACGGAACCTAATAACAACAATGCAATAAATAGCAAAAAAGCCTTCTTTCCAGTTTTTGTACCATAAGCATGTACTGTAGTTGTTAAGTATAAGTACTTTTAAAATTATGAGGCTTTCAAATTTAGAAATGTTCTACAAAGTAAGTGGTCAGTATTCCCCCCTCTCCTTTTCTTTTTCTTGTGTCAAGTCAGATCCAACTGGCACAAGAGGAGATTACCCCTCCTACTCCAGGGGAGCATCTGGTGGATTCAAACCACACACCTTTGGGATTGCAGCTCTGCTTCTTGCCACTAGGCCACCAGAGCTCCCTTTGGTCAGTATTCTTAAAAATATCAAGGTGACCAGTAAAAAGGAAAGACTACAGAATTATCACGGATTGAAGAGAGAATTAAGAAAATGGATGACTAATAGCAATGTGGGATTCTAGATGTAATCCAAACCAGAAAATGGATAGTGGGAAAATTAGAGAAATTCAAGTAGCGACTATAGAATAGTAAATGGTATTGTACCAGCCTTCATTTCCTGGTTTTGAGTATTATACTGTGGTGAACACAGGGGAAGCTCTGTAATGGGAACTCCATATCATTTTCACAATTTCCCAGCAACTCTAAAACCCTTTATTTCCAAATAAGGGGTTTAAAAAACAACAATCTAACAGGTTAATATCAAACAAATATAAAATTGGAAATTATAATAAGAAATGGGCAATCTCCTCCCATGCAATTAGCTGCCTCTGAAAACTTGCCAGAGGTCAACTATGGGTCAGTTCTGACTTGATGGTACTTAACAACAACTAGAAATAGAAAGTATACTAAAAGACTGTTTATTTAAGTTACAAGACTGTCAGACATGGAGAAGTTTGACAATGCCATTTACTGTTAAGGTTTTGGGAAGATAGGTACTATCTAACATTGCTGGTGGGAATGTAAAATGCCATGAAGCCTATCATAGGAAATTGAGAGCTATCGATCAGAAATGATAAATATTAGTTTTTGACCAATCCCACTTCTGGGAACTTACCATACAGATATTTCTGTAAACACTCAAAATGGCATTTGTTTAAGGTTACTAATCACAGAATGCTTGTAACAGCAAAAACCTGGAATCAACCCAAGTATGCATCAAAGGGGAATTTGTTAAATAAACTACAGTACAGCCACATCATGAAATATTATTAGGCTGCTTAAAAGAACAAGGAAGCTCTCTATGTACTGACATAGATTTAGCTTGAGGAAGTATTAAGTGAAAGAAAAAAAACAAGGCATAGGACAATATATGTAGTATGCTACCTTTTGTGTAAGAAAGAGAATGAGGATTAAATAGCCATATTTACTTGTCTATAAATAAAGAATGACTGGAAAAGATACAAGGAATTAAATGGAAGCAGTTACCCATGGAGGAGTGAAGTGAAAGAATGGCATAGAAAGGGATTGTTGTTGTTCTTAGGTGCTGTCAAGTCAAATAGGGCTCACAGAGCCACAATGAACAGATCTGAACCCTGTCCTATTCCATGCCATCCTCACAATCTCTGATACACTCGAACCCACTGCTATAGGCACAGTGTCAATCCACCTGGTTGAGGGTCTTCCTCTCCTTCGTCATCCCTCCACCTTCCAAGCATAATGTCCTTCTCCAAGGAATTACCTTTCCTACTAACATGCCCTAAGTATTTAAGACAAAGCTTTATCATCTTTTCCCCCTTTTTAAAAAAAATTTATTTTAATTGAGATTTTAATGCAAGTTTATAGAGACCTTGGATTTCCATTCATTCATTGTTGCACATTTTCCTCCCTGCCCACCTCCCCACCAGTTCACTTTTCTCTTTGAAAAAAAAACAAAACAACTTTCATTGTTATACAATTTCCCTGCCCCACCTCCCCTTCACTAAGCAGCTCTTATTCTGGACTATTGTCATACAAATAATACCTAATCATATATTTCTTTTAGACAGTTTTCCCCCTCATCTGTTTCAATGCAGTGTACAGTCTTTATCCCTTCTTTTCTTAGTTTCCTCCCAACCCCCATGTCAGTCCTATTTTATAACAGTGGCATTATGCAGTATTTGTCTTTTTGTGACTGAGATATTTCACTCAGCATAATGTCCTCCAGGGTCACCCATTTTGTATATTTTATGAGTTCCTTGTTTTTCAGTTCTGCATAGTATTCCATTGTGTGAATATACCACACCTTCTCTATCCATTTGTTGATGGACACTTGGATTGTTTCCATCTCTTTGTTATTATGAACAACATAGCAAAAAAATATGGTGTGCAAAGTTTTACCATCTTTGCTTCCAAGAAGCACTCTTATATACCTTCTTATACCTTCTCAAAGACATATCGGTTTGTTCTTTTGGCAATCCATGGACTATTCAGTACTCTTCTACAATACCACAGTTCAAAGGCATCAATTCTTCTGTCATCTTTATTCACTGTCCAGCTCTCAAATGCATGACAAGTAATTTAAAATTCCATAGCCTGAATCAGGTGCACCTTAGTCTTCAAACTGGTATCATTGTCCTCAATACTTTGGAGAGGTCCCTGCCTGCAGACTTTCTCAGTGCAATACGTCTCTTGATCCCCTGCCTGCTGGTTGTTGTTGTGTACTCTTTAGTAAGAATCAACCCATAGTTGACCCTCCAGTGAACTTTCAGTGGCAGTTAATCTCCAGGAGGAGTTTGATCTTTTTCCCATGGAGCAGCTGGTGGATTCAAACCACATACATACATTAAGGATTGCAGTGCAGTTTCTTACCACTAGGCTCCCTCCTGGCTGCTGGTACTAAGTGTGTTGATCCACCAAGTGGTTCCAAAGTAAGATGACGTTTTTTACCATTTCAATCAGTTTTCCATCTATCCTAACGTTGTCTATTAGTCCAGTGGTGGGAATTTATTTCTCAAGAAATGCTTTTTCATTTAGTCTCAACTTTCAGACTACATAATGTAGTATCTATTTTAAAAGACTTAAAAATAATTTTTCATTTCAAAAACACCAAAGTGTACACAGTACTTAGCAGGACATGGGATTGTAGATAGATTTGTCTGCTTTTGTTTGTTTTATTTCTTTCTCCCTATGTACCATAGTACCTGTGGACAGGCGATGTTTTTATAAGTGTAAAAGTTGTTTTGACAAGACCATTTTCAAGGGGAATGAGGCTGTCCTACCTCAGACCTGCTCAATCACTGCCCTTCCCGGTGTTGCTCTAGCTCTGTGGGAGAAGCCCCACGCCCCTTCCTCTTTGCGCCCCAGATGGCCCCAGGCCCTCACCAGTTGTAGATGATCTGCCCTTGACGGCCTCCATGGCGGTAGTTATACAGAATGATGTAGCTGTCACCACCGTAGAATTGTCCATACGTGGCCGGGTCCACAGGCACTTTGTCGGATCCTTCAATTCTCCAGATCTGCGGGAGAAAAGCTGGGTCAGCGTCTGTGCCGCAGCCTCACCCCGCAACTCAATCCAGAGGGGAAACCACAATTTGGCGGATCCTGGTTAGACAACAGGGCTAGCTTTTGATACGTGACATCACTCAGGCTCCAAGCGAAGGGGAATGATCAGCCCAAATCATTGAATAAGGTCCCCTGTTCCTGATACCAAAGGGACTGGGATCTAAGTAGCAGGTACTCAGCACGTGAGTTAAGAGCAAGGGTCTGAGTCAATCAGACCTGCATTCGCTTAAGGGCTTTATGATCCGGGACAACTTGCTTAATCTCTCTGAATCTGTTTCCTCATCTGAAATAGAGGGATAATAAGAGTGTCTACCTCAAAAGGGGGCATCAAATGAGATTGTGTATCAAAGTCTAACCCAGTGCCTGATACTGGGCAATAGCTAAATGGCTGCTGCTATGCTATTATGTTATATTATTATCCCTGATATATTCATGATTTCCATCACTGTGGAAGTGTCTGGATTTTATTTTAGGTCAGTTCCAGAGTCAAGGTCATCCCAGGGTAACCTCAAAATAATTCCTTATGCAGAGCTCCAGTGACAATTTAATTAACACAGTAGTTCCAAGGCCCTGCAGTGCCACCTGGTGGTATTGTAAGAAATAATGTGCACCCGGATTGCAGACCTGGAATCCCATCATCGGCTGTGCATCATCACAAGGAAAGTGACTCTTAAAGAGTTTCAGTAATTTTCCCAAGGTCACACAGCTGACCTAGTGGAGCTCTTTCAACACTGTCTGAATATTTTCATGCACTTTCTCCTACTAAAAATCATTCAAAACCTCAAATTCATTGCCATTGACTTGACCTGCCAGTGGGTTTTCAGAGACTGTAAATCGTTTGGGAGAACACTGCCCATTTTCCTCCCATGGAGCTTCTGGTTAATTCCAACACCAGAGAGGTGTCACCTTTGGATTTGCACCACAACTCCCAACTGACTATGCTGTCAGACTTCCCACTAAGTAATTAATCAGTTACACCAATGTCTAAAGCCAACTGCTGTGGAATGGATTCCAACTCAGGGTGACCCTCTCTGTGGTTTCCAAGGTTTGAATGTGAATGAGAGGAGATGGGCCATCTTTCTCCCATGGATTGGATGCCTGGTGAGTCCAAACTGCCCAACACTGAAGGTATTAGGCCACCAGAATTCCAATAACATAAGCAACAGTAAGAAAAAATTAACACTTTGTTATTTGTATCATGAGGTGTTTGCTTCGGTGGCTTCTAGTTCATCAACACCTCAGGCTGTCCTTTCATCTTCCATTGAAGACGTCTACCCATCTTCACTTTGACCATCCTGGTCATTAGCTCAGTGAAGGCTGCCCTAACCCTAAACCCTTTCTGAGTTCCCATAATTCCTGTATTTGCTTCAAACCAACTATGGTTTTGATCATCTCCCTTCCAGACACTCCTCTGAGGCAAGTGGGGTCTAAGGCACTTGCCACAAGGCCTGACACAGCTGTTGTTCAGGTTATGTTGGGTAAACTTTATTATTATTATTATTATTATTATTATTATTATTATTATTATTATCCACTAAAGTAAGCATAGGCATATTTGAGCTTACTTATAGTTGGTAATGAAAAATTTCAACTTTCTTTCACCACGTCAAAAATTCTGCTTCTAAATATATAACTAGCCTCTTTCTCTCTCTCACTCCCATAGCATCTTCCTATAGAATCAAAGCCTGTTTTAAAATTTCTAATCCCTTATAGGGCTGGAGTGCAGGAAGCAGGAAGCAGTGCCTAAGCTAGATGTGCCTCAAAGGGAGCAAGGGAGGAGGCTGGACTACACCCTCCCTCCTGCCTGGACTATACCCTCCCTCCCACCTGGAGGTACCTGTTTCTGGCCTGTGCCATCATCATCCATGCCATGTTGGGCAGCCATAGCAGTGGAGGTGTGCAGGGTGGCAGCATCGAAGGGCACCCGCTCCACATTGGCAATGTGGCTGGAGAGGTAGGCCAGGCCTGGGCCGTCTGTCTGGTCTGGGTCCCGCCAGTTTTTGAAGAACTGTTTGAACAGTGGGGTCTCGCCACCATCGGGAAGGATGGCCACCTGGGAAGGGCAGAGGAAAGAGCAGGATGTGACAGTGCTCACGCTCCCTTGAGGGCAGAGGCCACTTGGTAGAAGTCTTCAGGTGACACTCAGATCCTGGGACCACAGTGAGGGTGTGCCATCCACCATGCTCCAACTTATCACCCTCAAACTGGACCATCACCTCTGTAGCCTCCAGCACTCACCTGGGTCTGCTTGGGGTAGCCCATCTTGGAGATGAAGTCAGAGGCCGTTTTGAGGGCAGCTTTTCTCTCCTCAGTGCTGGCCTGCTTGCCTGTGGGCAACCAGAGAAAGTGATAAATGGTGAGGAGCCTGTGAGCAGAGCTGAGGTTTAATATTAATGGTCCAGGAACTTTGGCTCCTGGGGCCTAAATTTCTACACCATGGGATCGGTCAAACCTCCATTCTTATCTCCCATTTTAGACTGGACAGCCAAGGTCAGAGATCCTTGGAGCTGACTGCTTATAGAGCCCAAGAGGTTCAGCTAGATGCCCTGGCTGATGCTAGCAACCACAACAACCACTATAGGGGCATCTGCTAATTGAGGATGCACTTGATGCTTACAACTATCTATATAGGTTATATTGTTACAACCTAAAGTTATAACACAACAACTTTGTGTGACAAAGACCATGAGTATATTGCTTCCATTTTATACATAAGGCAACTTGGGAACTCAGGTTAAGTGACTCAACCAAAGGCCAGTCACTGAGTGGAAAAACTTGGATTCAGGCATTGTTTGCATTGACTCCAAAGCCTATGCACCATGCATTCAGGCCTCCCTCTTCCTGGGCTGACTGCCCCATGAGGGTGCTCCTCCCACTCCACAGCAGAAGTTGTTCCAACTCTGGGAGTGTTCCGGTGCAAGGTGAGCTCCCAGGCAGCAAGTGCCAGCCTGCTTATCATCCGGAGCCTGGGGGACCAGATAAGAGTAAAAACAGCCATGAGCTCACTCCATCTAAGCCTATCTGAGGCCTCCCTCCTCTTCTGACCTCTTCCCTGGACTTGTGGCCGAGCCAGCAGGGGAGGAGGGTCCTCAGAGGACATGTAGGCCAGTATTTTCCAAGAGCATTCCACAACCAGTTCCACAAGATGCTGCAGAAGTTTCCACCAAACTCTGATGCAATGCTTCCCAAACAAGAACCAGATCATCCCCCAGAAAAATCCCTCTATACAGTAGCAAATAAATGACTCTAAAAAGCCCTACAATAAACAAATTGGCATAACATTTAACCAATATTGTCCATGAACATAATTGAACAGAACCATAATTTTCACACGATGTCACATAACCTCTCAGAAAAGTGGTCTTATGACCCACTTGGGAATTACCTGTTTTAGCCCAAATATGAAATGTGTGATACAGAGAAAGTCAGTCAGTAAAATGCAGTAGCTCAAGGGGAGAGTCAACTGCAAAGTCCAAGGCTTGTATTTTCCATTTAGCAACCTTCCCTGGCACCAGAGCACCTGAATACACACTCTACCCTCCCTGGGAAGGGATCATTTGGCTCTGCTGAGCTGGGTGCCTGGAGGACTTGCAGGAGTTTCCACTCATTATGGATTGAACTGTGTCCTCTAAAAAGATAGACTAAAGTTCAAAACCCAACATCTGGTAATTTATCTTGTTTGGACATGAGTCTTTGAAAAGATTACCTTTGAAAAGAGGTCATACTAGAGGTTGTTGTTGTATGTTATTGGGTCCAAACTGACTCACAGCTGACCCTCCAGAAGGTTTCCAGAGGCAGTAAATTGCCCAGGAGGAGATTGCCCCTCATTTTCCCATGGAGGAGCTAGTGGATTTGAACCACTTGCCTTTAGGTTGGCAGCACACAACTCTCTACCAGTTTGAATGATTTCTTTATCAAAGAGAAGAGGCACAGAAATACAAAGGGAAGACAGTCCTGTGAAGATGGAGCTGTTCTGCGAGCCAAGGAATGCCTGGGGCTACCAGAAGCTGGGAGGGTCAAAAAAGGCTCGCCTGGAGTCTCTGGAGAGCACATGGACCTTTCAACCCTCAAAATTGGGCACCTAGTCTCCAGAACTAAAAGACAGTACATTTCTGGTCCTATATGTCGCCAGGTTGAAATACTCTGTTATGGTATCCTGACGAGATAAATACACCACCCAAGGTCCTGAGGGCTGGTTGAAAACCCCTGTCCCCAATACCTTTCCAGACAAAGATTTTCCCATCTGTGCCATGGTCCAGGATGAAGCAGTCTTCTGAGTTCAGGGCCGCCTGGGCGAAGGGGTTCTCATCAGCCACAAGGGAGACTGACATGGTGCCTGAACCATTGGAGACCTAAGGGACGAAGGAGAGAGAGCCCAGCCCATGAGTGTCTGCAGTCATCCTCCATGAAATGTCCACCCTCTTGGCCTTGTCCAGTGACTGTCTGGAAGCGAGTGTATAGGTCGATCCCTATCACTCTCCAGCCCAAATAGGCTTTAGCCTTCAGGATGTGAGCCCTAGTTAGGTTTCTTTTTTCCTTTTCTGCTTTGCCAGCCACACTGCACATTCCACACACAGAAGTCTGGGTAACCTGCACATTGGGAACTGCACATTGAAAGGGAGGGGAAGATAAAATGTAGGAGAGGAGCTGTGTAGTTTGCTGGAAAGATATCAACATTACTAGTAAAAATGTTGTTAGTTGTTACGTACTGTCAAGTCGGGACCAACTTATAGCTGACCCTCCCGCGGGTTTTCTGAGGCAGTTAATTGAACAGGAGGGGAGGCAGTTAATTGTACTGGAGATGGCCTCACCACGCGCCTTTGGGGTTGCAGTGCAGCTTCTTACCACTAGACCACCAGAGTTCAGTATAAATAGGAAATAAAATTAAAAGAGGGTGAAAGTAATGTAGTATCCTGACTTGGAATCTGGAACAGAGGCCTGAGGAAGCCAAAATAGTCTATAAATGAGTGGGCAGTATTGAGCCAATGTTAATGTCTTATTTGTAAGAAATGTGCTCAAATTATGTTTGTGCTCAAAACCAAGTGAAGATGTTAAGGAGAAGGTGGATTAAGAACATATGGGAATTCTATACTACATTCAAAGTTGGTGGATTTGAACCACTTTGGATTGTCGTTGTTAAGCGCCGTTGAGTCACAGATGACTCATAGCGACCCAGTGAATGAAACATCTGAACAATCGTATAACTTTCATCATTTCCCCAAGTTCATAGATTTTCCAGAGGCAAGCTATTTTTGAAGTGTCACTCCTGCTTTCAACTTTGTTTTAATTGGGGAGCGCCACCAAACACTGTCCACCATGGGAAAGTAACCATTATCACATTTGACACATCAGTTTCACAGTGTTTAGCATCACCGCAACCATGAGTTCCCTCTATACAGCAATGCACAGACCAGTGCTATACCACTTAGAAAAATGTTTGACCAAAAACAAAGCCAGGCCTGAGTGTCACAGATTAAAATCACCCACCTTTGGCTTGGTAGCAGAACTTCTATCCACTAGGCTTTACTGTCTGATATATTACACTGTAGACAACCAGATTACAGCCCTGGGACCATCTGAGGCAATTCTACTCTGTCCTGCAGGGACACTGTGAGTAGGAGCACACTCAACAGCAATGGGGTTTATCTTAAATCAGTGACATGTCATTGACTTTTACTCAGAGTTGCTATCAGACTGCAGTCTTCAATATGGATTGAAGCTCAACATCAAGAAAACAAAAATTCTCAAAAAAAACAGAAAACAAAAATTCTCACCACTGGGCCAGCTGGCAGCATCATGATAGACAGGGAAGAGACTGAGATTACTAACACCTTCAGCTTGTTTAGCTCCACAATCAATACTCTTGGTACTAGCAGCCAGGAAATCAAAAGATGAATTGCAATGGGAAAGTCTGCTGTCAGGGTCCTCTCCAGAGTACTGAAGAGCAATGGTGTTAGTCTAGAGGCTAAGGTGCACCTGACCCAGGCCATGGTCTTTGCCATTATTTGCCATGCATCAGAGAGCTGGACAATGACTAAGGATGATGCAGAAAAATCAATGGCTTGGAGTTGTGCTGGAGAACAACATGAGCTGCTAAGAACACAGGTCTATCCTGGAGAGGATGAAATAAGGCTGCTCCTTGGAAGCAAGGATTTTTAAGCTCTGTCTGACATAATTTGGACATGTTGCAAGGAGAGACCAGACCTTAGAGAAGGACATCATGCTTGGAAGGGTGAAGGGACAGCGCAGGAGAGGAAGACCCTCAATGAGATGGATTGACTCAGTGACTAGGGTAATGGGGGTAGATGTGTCAGAGATGATGAAATTGGATCAGGATAGAGCAGGGTTCAGAGCTGCTGTCACTAAGATTCGGAGTCGACTTGATAGCACATAACAACAATGGTTTGAAACCATTCATGTTAACAGGAACAAAATCCCCAGAAGTGCCTTTAATTTTACTGGAGTAGGAAACAGGTAAGGCTGTCCCTCTCAAAGGCAGCAGCCTCCTGTCCCAATCTGAATGTATCTTCACCAGGAACCACGCCTGTTCCTTCTCAGGTCAAAACTCCACACTGAAGTAATTCAAACCAGTGTGAAACCTACTTTTCTTTTCTCTTGATAATCTTGAATATTGATCATAACAGACAAGTATAACCAGAAAAAAATCCTTTTGCTTAGAGGTGATAATAATCTGCACCACCATGTGGTTTCTGTTTCATTACAAATAAGCCTAGTAAGCAAAGCACTCCTTAAGAATAGAAGAACGGTAGGAGGTATCTCACTCCCTGATTTCAAATCCTACTACACTGCCATAGTGGTAAAGACAGCATGG